TTTAAGTATTATCCCAGTAGGACGCATTGACGTCACGCCATGTAATGATAGATAATCCATCCAATGGGAGACAGCGGAGACTGGACAAATGACAATAATGGTCATGAAAATCATGATAGGTAGTCAGCGACTGTTTTTACTGTAAGTACCCCCACATACTTACACATGTAGAAGGCAGTTCGACATTTTAACATACAAGTGTATCAAAGCCATTTTTGGTTAATTCCACTCACTGGTAATCTGAAGCAATTTTTTTCTTCATAAAAATTGTCCAATCCAGGATTCGATCCTGAGTCGTGACTGTCAAAAATCGACAGTTTATAAGCCTGGTTCCAAAATGACTTTATTAGGTGCCGCTTAAAAAAAGCAACCTAGCTTATGTAGCGGCTCCCAAATATTAACTTTTCATATTTTCATTATAAGTTTTAATTTGTTTAATAACTATTTAATTCAAATATTAAATTATCTTTTAAATATATAATGCTCATAAAATAGACTTTATTATAATTATATGAATTAACATTAATATCATATTAATTATTGTTATAATAATATAATAAAATAATTATACATCATTCTCTAAATATAAATCATAAATCATAAAAAATGTAAATATTTATTTATAATATATCAAACACATATATCTAACATTTTATAATATAGAAATGATATTTGACCATACACACAAAAAGAACTTCAACATGTAGTATACAACAATACTTCTGATAATTTGTATTAAATAAATCTAATTAAAAGTTGATTTTGCAATAAATAATTTGTTATCTGACTCCGCTTAGAAATCCATGCCGCCCACACTTATGATATCTACAACAATGAATAATATGTGAAGGTACATATTAAAACAAAGTGAACAATGCAGGATTAGATCCCAGTTTATGGCTGTCGGGAATCGAGGGTTTTTACCTCTCGTCCACCAACCTCCTGATATATTTATAGAGAAGGGGATAGTGTCAGTGATATATATATAAAAATCAATAAAAATTAAGCTGTCAACTTGGAGTGATATATCGAGGGAATTACTAACATCAGTGTAATAACGCCTGAGCAGATATCGAGGACACCAGTCAACGCTTACTTCCCTCTGATACCAGAGTTGTGTATCCCTCCAGTTAGAGGGGGAACTACAGAGACATATGTAGAACATGACTTCATTTATGGGTGGGTTTTGTTTTGTATGTATCTGTGCGCATTCATATATATTAAAAATAAAAAAGGCATATCCTGACCAGGAGCACGTGTACTTTTCAGAAGGCAGAGCGCCATCTGGTGGAACAGAAATCAACTATTCATCGATTTAACCTGTTCCCTGATATTTGACCAACACAATTTCTTGATAAATCAAGAAAAGCCATCCACGAACGCGTTTCGCGCTGTTTGCGCTCGTCAGCGTGGAGTAGGCTCTGCCTTCTGAAAAGCACATGTGCTCCTGGTCAGGATATGCCTTTTTTATTTTTAATATCAACACCTTACCTTTTTATTATTTATTTTTTTCTATTGTTTTTTCATTCATTTATATATGTGATGCACTAGGGCGCCATCTGTTATCAAAATTCGAAACTATTATAGACGCGTATGATTATTTTTAAAAATAATTTTAGAAATTGTTTATTTTAAAAAATAATCATACGCGTCTATAATAGTTTCAAATATGTATAAGTATTTGTGTGTATGTTTATGTGTGTTTACTTTTATACACGAAACAAATTTCTACTGTCTTTACTGCGATGAAAAAATATATTAGGAGGACTTGGCTCATCAGTGGTGAACCCTCCCAGCGGTTTCGCCAATTAAATCTACCAGACCGATTCTCTTAGAGTTCTAATACTGTATTGGACGATTCTGATTATATATGATACACTGAAGGGTGGAATCTTAAAAATGGTTTTTAAGCAAACTACGGACATAAGTTTTCAGAACAGTAGAATTACATATAAATAGAGGTATATAATACACTGCGGCTTGTGATTGTAAAACAACACTTGAAGTTACACCGCATGAGTTTCTTTTCAATGAAAAATCAAAATTTATTTCAAGGTGAAATAATGACTATTTCTAACCTTTTTGGATGAGGCATGAAAGGGTGAGTTATGAAGAGTAATGATGAACGGAAAAATAAAAGTGTCCAGGGATGGGAATCGAACCCACAATGTTCCGCTTGCCGGGCAGGCCCGGTAGCCTGGGGGCCTAGGGGTAGCCTAGTGGACATGGCATCTGCCCGGTAAGCGGAACACTGTGGGTTCGATTCCCATCCCTGGACACTTTTATTTTTCCGTTCATCATTACTCTTCATAACTCACCCTTTCATGCCTCATCCAAAAAGGTTAGAAATAGTCAATATTTCACCTTGAAATAAATTTTGATTTTTCATTGAAAAAAAACTCATGCGGTGTAACTTCAAGTGTTGTTCTATAAATAGAGATATGTTTATTGTTTTGAATATGGTACATATATATATATATTGTATCTATGCACAGTAGGTCCTTTTTGGTGTTCAGGGCATCTCAACTCTCTCGGAGTGATTTCTTTAACTTGATAAAAGTTATTGAATGAGAGGGCTTGACTCCAGAACGCTCTACTATTATATTGGATTGGTTTTCTCATACCCTGTATTTACTATGGAAGGCAGCTTAGGTCTGTCGAGAGAGGTGCATATATATAATTACAACAAAAACAACATATATACAATATAATTTATTATTTTAATATTTATTTTTTGTTTATAATTTCTCATTAGGTATATTACAATTTATTTCAAAGATCATAGTCTTTTGTGAGTTAAATATTTATTTTTGACTTTAGATGTTGTACAAAATTTGAAATATCGCGTGAGAACACTCATGGAACCTTAGAATAATTTTTAACGCCTTGCCAAATGTTTTAATTTTTGTTTGCTCCTGACGAGAACAAAAGCTTTTTTTCGTCGAGGTAATAAAAATATTTACTGGCCGAAGTATCTTCTTCTTCTTCTTTCTTATCTCCACTCAATCATATTAAGGTATCAAGCTTGTAAAGCTTGAGACTTTTGACGGTGTCTGCCGGGGAAGAGTAGAGCTCATCAATGGATGAGTCAATACAGTCATTGATGTGTTTTGGGGTTGCAGGTTGAGAATTGAACTTAGTACATAGTGGGAAAACCTTGCAACCATTCTGTCATTGTCCGTAGATGACCAGACTTAAGTCTGGAAATCAAAGACTATTGATCTCTTGGGAAGACACAGAACCGGTGCTTGTCCCTCCTGCTCTGTACCAGTCATATACAGCAGTAGATTTCCATTCCTGAAGGCATTGGGTTTTGATGGTACGGAGGAGGTCTCTTTCGTCTAGTTGGGAGGTAGTAGTATCTTTATTTTGAAGAACTATGAATGCCGGCCAATGTCTTTACGATACAATTTGACGATAGTTAGCGTCGCCCAAGTAAATAAGCCCTGGGAGAGCCGTGGGAATCCAGGAAACGTCAGCCAATACAACCTGGTTACGACCAGATGCATAATGTATCGATAGCTTTTTGCAATTGAGATGTGGCGGTCACTTCCTGGTGGATTCCTCTGGATCTATTCAGATTTTTTTCGGAAATCCTCATTGGGTGGCAAAGTTTCCCCATATTGTGGTGAAGAAATAATTTATTATATTAATTTGTAATACAATATAATGCGGCTTATGAGTGTAAAACGACATTTGAAAATTATCCCGCATGTGTTTCTTTTGAACGAAAAATCGAAATTTATCTTTAAGGAGAAATAGCGATTATTTCTAACCTTAGAGATGAGGTATGAAAGGGTGAATTGTGAAGAGTAATGATAAACGAAAAATTACCTCATATAATATTTACGAACGGAAAAATATGTCCAGGGTAGCCTAGTGGACATGGCATCTGCCCGGATACTGTGGGTTCGATTCCCATCCCTGGACACTTTTATTTTTCCGTTTATCATTACTCTTCACAATTCATCCTTTAATGCCTCATCTCTAAGGTTAGAAATAATCGTTATTTCTACTTAAAGATACATTTCGATTTTTCGTTTAAAAGAAACACATGAGGAATAATTTTCAAATGTCATATTAATTTTGATTTAAATTTTCAATGAAAATACTCTCAACAGAATATGACTCTGTATTTATGAAATCATCATATATGTTGCATAGCTTGGTTGCTCGATATTCTCTATCCGTATATAGTTTGTTTGTTGATAATTGTCGACTAGTCGCCGTGACGTCATCAATAAATACTGTTACATCTTAACATATACAAAGACTTGGTTTCTACGCTACAATATTAAACATGTATTTTATGAAGGATCCAAGGCTTTGTTTATATACTGTCGATGTTTGACAAGTCTAAACCCTACCACCGAGTACAAGTAACCACAGCGTTCTGACATCTTGTAAGTGTAAAAATCTAAATGCTTTCTACATGTGTAGGGTTGTGATGTACTCGGCTAGTGTATTATATACCTAAACTAAAAAAGGATAAGTTTTTAAATAAGAAAATGCTGAAAAAAAAATATACACATATATGTATATACTATAATTTAAAAAAATATATTAAAAAATATATATTAAAAAATATAAAATTAAAAAATAATGCATACATTGGATATATAATTATTTTATTGTTCCGATATTTCGAGGGGCAACTCGCCTCTCTTTATCGAGGATGTTTTAGTTTTTTACTCAAACATGCGTACACCACGTATACAATATCGGAACAATAAAACAATTATAAATTCAATATATGCATCTTTTTTAAATATAATTTTAATTATGGATTGCTCAATCTTCAAAAAATATATATATATGCATATATAATATATATATGTATATATATGTATATATATAACGCGAGTATAATAAAAAAAATTAAAAAGCAGACTTCTCTCTCTTTATAAAAATCATTTAAAAAAACGCTAATTACTAATTAGCTCTATTTAAGGATTAAAAAAATTGCCTTCGTGTTATATAAAAAATTCAGGAGAAAAACATCTGTCTCCATACACTTAAGATAATTCTCTAATGATGATTCATTGATAGCAGACGATGATGTCAATTTAATATTAAAATATTTGACCTAGGACTACACCAGACGATATTTTTTATAATTAAAAAAAAAATTAGGACTAAAAAAAAAACCGCGCGCGCACTAAAGATATTTCATTTTGTCGACAGGTAATTCATTCATAGCGCAAAAATCTCATTTTAAGAATAAATATATGCATGGTGACACCATTAATAAAAAATAACCAATCACGTTTTTGACACGTTTTTTTTAAACGATCAATAACAACAAAAAAGTGATTCGAAAAAAAAAATCCCTTTTCAAAAATCTAATTTACAAAACAAAAAATTGCCTCGAAGGTCTTTAAAAAAAAAAAAAAGAAGGCCTGTAACCCCAATTGGTAATGAGTGAAGATTTTAGCCTGAAGGGAAAAATGTCAGAAATTTAGGTCAGAATGTCCCCCAGTCTATGAATGATCTATTTTAATTATTATCATCATCATAATCAGAAACAAGGTTATGCTAAAGCGCGATGTTTCTTTTGTCATGTCAGCCTATATCAAACTCTTCTTTGACGGTGGGATGATTGTATCCCATGAAATTGTGTTCTATTCAAATACCATCCATAGTATCAACTCTGATGTTTTAACATCCTCTAGTTGTTTAGGAAATGGAATTCAACGTCATCTCTTCTTCTTTCTTATCTCCACTCAATCATATTAGGGTATCAAGCTTGTAAAGCCTTGGTGAAATAGAATGCGTCTGCCTTTGTCATTAAGACTGGGAGCACTACTCAGTGGCAGGCCGACTTAGCTCCAAAAGAAATGGCCGCCTCTGACATGAGGAACAGACACCATGTACAGCCGCTCCTAACATAGAGTACAAACACTGCTCATCCTGTATCCCTGGATTAGGAGCCCTTACAGGGTACTATCAGCCTGGCCAGCTGAACCCAGGTGTTTTAGTGAGCTTGTTACTGCTCCCCTTTCTCATTTTTCATCCGGGCTTGGGACCGGCAAAGGCGGCGTTAACGCCATCTATCGATACTGAACCGAACAACTCGCACAAAAACCTTTAATAAGACATATAGTCCTATATACGGATTTACCACACGGAATCTGTGATGGCAAAGAGTCAAAAAGTAAAAGCTATTTATATCTAATAAAAATTCAGATGATAAATAACCTAATTAAGACAATTAATCTTATACACGGCATTGTTTGATAAGTATAAAGTAAATACATAAAACTACATCTAATGGCAAATAACTGGCTCTTTGGCATTGCACCTCACTGGCACCGCAAATTGAACATATACGACGACATTGCCTTAAGTTGAGAGCTCTGCCACATCCGAAAAGAATTGGAAAACCCTCCTGCACCATATGCAACGGACCCCCTGACATCCAGCACAGATACATAGATTGCACTGTTACAAAGAAAATAATCGAAAAAGCAACTAACGAATGCCTGAGGGTTGACCCTCTCTACAGATTCAGTCCCGCCGATTTTATTCTCAGCCTCAACAAGCCTGATGTATCTTAAACAAAACAAAATTTGATATTTATAAATATTTAATAGAAAGAGATTTTGTACCCCCTCCCCCGCTGGCCACTAATCTGTAACCGACTCTCTGCTCAATAAAGATCGTTTTGTCGCGTAAAAACTACATCTATTTACATATACATGCATACATAAGCGTTTATTATCTGATATACGGATTTGCCACGGAATCTGCGATGGCAAAGAGCCAAAATGTAAAATCTATTTACATATAATAATACAGATGCTAAATACCCTATTTAAGACAGTCTCATACATCACTTTGTTTGATAAGTCCAGAGTAAATACATAAAACTACATCTATTTACATATGATACGTACATATATAAGCATTTATTATCTGATACACGGATTTAGAGTCTGCGAAGAAAAAGAGTCAAAAAGTAAAAAATATATATTTATATTTATATAGATGGAGATTTTGCCTGGAGGAAATTGATCTAAAGAGACAAGGGTCGCCTCTCCCGTCAAAATAGACGTCTAAAACCATAAGCCATCTATTGACTATCCGGTGACAAAGCTGCTAGTTGCGGCGATGGTCAATAGATGGATTCTGGTTTTAGACGTCTATTTTGACGGGAGAGGCGACCCTTGTCTCTTTAGATATATTTATATGTAATATGTTGAGTTTCTGGTGGCCTCTTGTATAGAATCCTGTCGACTCACTGTAATGATATGTTGAGTTTGATGTCGACTACTGAAATAAGTTGAAGTTCTGGTAAGCCTTGTGTAGAGTTTTCCAGTACCTCTCTGCACCTTGGAAGACCTTTAAAAGTTCTCACAAAATACAGGCAGTCGTGGTCGAGGCAGAGTGGAAAGTTTGGGAATGTCCACACAAAAACGAAGACACAATTGCACTAAGAAAGTTCCGTTAACAGATAAAAGTTGAGCTAGGAGCGAAAGATGGAGATAGAAGTTTCTTACTCGTCTACATGATGGATGAGGAGGACCTTGGTGACAACCGACGAGAGCTCGCGCTAAGGGTGAACTAACTGTATTTTTAGGTTAAGACGGGGGGCCTTTTATATATCTTTCCCGAGAAAGGGGAGTATTGCATTACAGCACATGCGAGAGGGGCTTGGATCGTCTGGAAATTGTACACTGGCGCCGTGGCCGTTTCCATCTTTAGACTTTGTTGTTTTGGCAATACTATATGCTCGATCTCTGCTTTAGCTCAACTCTTAATCAATTACAGAGTTTTATTTATTTATCCACTTTGTACAAATTACATTACATATGATGATGTAAAGACACATGTCAATAATACGTATAATAATTAACAGCTGGGTTTCTATTATACAACATTAAAATCTTGTTATAAGTTATATACATGGGGTTGTTGGCTTAAATTACCATATATATATATAATACAGATGCTAAATAACCTATTTAAGACAAATAGTCTTATACACGGCATTGTTTGACAGGTCCAAGGAAAATAAATAAAATAATAAAAACAATATATATTTACATATGATACATACATATATAATATTTTATTATCTTCACGGATATTTGCCACGCGCGGAGTCTCCCTGGTGAAGAGTCAAAAAGTTAAAGCTATTTACACATAATAAAAATATAGTAGAGGCTTAATAACCTAATTAAGATAATTAGTCTCATACATGGCTTTGTTTGATAAGTCCAAAGTAAATACATAAAACTACATCTATTTACATATAGGATATATACAGGGTGATCCAAAAGTCCCGCACAACTTTAAAAATTAATAACTCCGCGAATATTTGCGCTAGAGCAATGAGGTAAACACCATTGTGTTCAGGATGCAATGGGATCTTTTATGGCAAATAATGAAAAATTCGAAATTGATTTTAGTTAAAACTTTATTCGCTAGATGGCGCTCTACCAAAATCAGCGATTCAGCGGCCAAATTGTTTGATAAATTGAAAAATATAACTGAACGACACGTATTTTTCCTTTTTGAATACCAGGAAAGAACCCAAATAATATCAAATGATGCATTAGTAAAACACCATTTCGCCAAAAGTTAGAAGAAATGGTTAACGATTTTTAAATACAATCTGAGATATGTAAAATAGGTATATGCAAATTAAAACATGTAGCAAAAAAATATGATATTTTAGATGCGGTTTGCTGGAATCCTCTCAGCTATTTATATTTCGAAAATAATAAATTTCTAATTTTTTAAATTCAACTCTCTCTCAGTATCGATTATATTTATTTTAATTCATTTGAAAAATATTTATCTATCTCTGATGATTTATTTTTCTCTGGAATGCCGTTGTTGTTTTTGTCGTGTCCAATAAAGAGCCTCAGATGTCTCCATGCATCTCTATCACAGCAGCAGCAGCATTGTCCACTATCTAGGGTGTG